AGACTTTTTTTTTTTCTTCTTCTTCTTCTTTCTCTTTTTCGTCAAATGGATGAGATGAGCTGCCGTTATGAAAGTTCTTCGGTCTGAGTAGCTCGTAAGAGGAAGTGAGAGAGAGGAAAGAGAGAGGAAAGAGAGGGAGAATGAGAGGGAGTGGGGGAGGGAGAGGGAGAGGGAGAGGGAGAGGGAGAGGGAGAGGGAGAGAGAGAGAGAGAGAGAGAGAGAGAGAGAGAGAGAGAGAGAGAGAGAGAGAGAGAGAGAGAGAGAGAGAGAGAGAGAGAGAGAGAGAGAGAGAGAGAGAGAGAAAGAGAGAGAAAGAGAGAGAGAGAGAGAGAGAGAGAGAGAGAGAAAGAGGAAAGAGAGAGAGAAAGAGGAAAGAGAGAGAGGGAAGAGGGTGAGAAAGAGAGAGGGAAGATAGAGAGAAGGAGAGGAAAAGGGAGAGAGAGAAGGAGATGAGGTAGATGCACACACACACACACACACGCACACGCGCGCGCGCGCGCGCGCACATAGACAAACAGACATACAGACGAACGTAAACTCAAAGACAAACCAGCAAGAAAAAATCACGCAAATTATCACAACATCAACACAACAAAGACGTGATCAGGACAAACAAGAGTAAATAGAAGAGATGTAAAGAAGGAGGATTAACAAGGAAAGAAAAAAAAAGAAAAATTACAGAAAATAGAGAAAAATGAACATAAACGATTAAAGAAAAAAAAATCCAAAGAATGAATATATGACGAAAATAAACGAGGAGGCGAGACGATAAAAAAAGATAAAGAGTAAAAAAAAAAAAGTGAACGAAAAGAAAAAGTGGATGTAAAAAAAAAAGAGAAGAGAAAAGCGAATAGACAGACATAAGATACATGAAGAGGGGGAAAGGGGAAGGGGAAGGGGAAGGGGAAGGGGGAGAGGGGAGAGGGGAGAGGGGGGGAGAGGGGAGGGGGAAGGGGGAGAGAGGAGAGGGGGAAGGGGGGGAAGAGGGAGGGGGCCGACTTGGGGGAAGGAATCTAAACTTGCTGGAAAAAGTTGAGTTAACGAGAGCTTCCCTCGGACTTTGATAGGACACGTGGGTCGGGGAGACGAACAAGAGGAAGAGGAAGAGGAAGATGGAATAAGAGGAAGAAGAAGAAGAGGAAGAGGGGAGGAGAGGAAGGAAAGGGGGAGACGAACAAGAGAAAGAGGAAGAGGAAGAGGGGATGAGAGAGGAAGGAAAGGGGGAGGAAGGACAAGGAAAAAAGAAAGAGGAGATGAGAGAGGAAGGAAAGGGGAAGAGGAACAAGAGAGATAGGAAGGGGAGATAAAAGAAAGGGGAGGGGAAGAGGAAGAGAAAGAGAGGATAAGAGGAAGAGGAAGAGGGGATGAGAGAGGAAGGAAAGGGGAAGAGGAACAAGAGAGAGAGTATGGGATGATGAGAGGAAAGTGAGGGGGAGAGGAAGAGGAAGAGGAGATGAGAGAGGAAGGAAAGAGGGAGGAAGGATGAGGGAAAGAGGAGGGGGAGATGAAAGAAAGGGGAGGGGAAGAGGAAGAGAAAGAGGAGATAAGAGGAAGCTGAGGGGAAGAGGAACAAGAGAAAGAGAAAGAGGAAGAGAATATGAGAGGAAGGAAAAGGGAAGAAGAACAAGAGGAAGAGGAAAGGGATATAAAAGGAAGGTGAAGGGGAGAGAAAGAAGAGGAAAAGGAACAGGAGAGGAAGGAAAGGGGAATAAGAGAGAGTGGAAGGGAAGAGAAGACGAAGGCAAGAGAAAAAAGAACAGGGGAGAGGAAAACAGGGTAATTGGAAGGATAGAGAAAGAAGAACAAGGAGAAGAAAGGATGAATAAAGGAATTTCAAAGACAAGAAAAACAAGAGGAAAAAGAAGAGAATCAAGAGAGAGAAGAAGGGGAAAGGAAGGGGAAGGACGAAAGGAAGAAGAGATAAAAGGAAGAAGAAGAACTAGTGGAATAGGAAGAATAGGAAAAAAAACAAGAAGAAGAGGAACAGAGGTTAGAATAAAAAGGGAAGGAGAAGGAAAAGAGGAGAGGAAAGGAAATAGAGAGACCAGAGAAAGAAGGGAAGAAGTAAATGAAAAAAAGAGGTCAAGAAGAGGAAGAAATAAGGGAAAAACGAGAATAAGAGAGAAAGAGAGAAGAGGACAAAGAGAAAGAGTAAGGTGAAGTGGAGACAAGAAGAGAAGATAAAGATGGTAGGAAATAGATGTAAGATGAAAAGGGAGAAATGAGGCGAAAATGAGACGGTGAAGAGGAGCAGAAATAAAGGAGAGAAGAAGAGGAAAGGGAAGAGAGACAGAATAAAGAGGACAAACAAGAAGCAAAAGGAGAGGAAACAGAGAGGCAGGAAGAAAAGGGGATAAAGTGACAAAGGGAAGAAAGAAAGAGAGAAGAGGGAAAAATAAAGGGGAAAAAGGGAACAAAGATAAAAGAGAAGCCAAAGGGACAAGATAAAGAGGAAAAGGATGATAAAATAAGAGGAAAAGGAGGAAGAAGAGTGAAGGTAAGAAGTGGGAGAGAGAATAGGAGAAGAAGAAGAAGAAGAAGAAGAAGTAGAAGAAGACGAGGGAGAAGAGAGATGGAAAAGGGAAGAAGAACAAGAGGAAGAGGAAGATGGAATAAGAGGAAGAAGAAGAAGAAGAAGAAGAAGAAGAAGAAGAAGAAGAAGAAGAAGAAGAAGAAGAGGAAGAGGGGAGGAGAGGAAGGAAAGGGGGAGGAAGGACAAGGAAAAAAGAAAGAGGAGATGAGAGAGGAAGGAAAGGGGAAGAGGAACAAGAGAAAGAGAAAGAGGAAGAGAAAGAGAGGATAAGAGGAAGAGGAAGAGGAAGAGGAAGAGGAAGATGGAATAAGAGGAAGAAGAAGAAGAAGAAGAAGAAGAAGA